AAATTGAGAGTTTGGCTTTGTTTACTGTCATTATTAAGAATGGTTGATAAAAAATATCTAAATAAGGGAAAAGGTAAGATGGTGATCTTTACAAAGGAACATTTGTTAACTTCACCTATTAAACTACATGACCTTCATTCAAAACATTTTTATTGATTTAAGTCTAAATATTTCATATTCATAAGATATATTTAACATCCAAGTATGTAGATATATTTTTCCAAGTAATTTATAAAAAGTGATGGAATCATTACAAGTCATGATCTGATTCGATTCGCAATTCGGAATGAGGCCATTTCGATTTACGATTCGAATCCCGATTTGACAACTATGATGCCAAACCTCATGGGTTGTAGGTGTAATTTATCTTTTATTTTATGTCAAATATTTAATTTCATCAACTTCATCAACCTTGGGGTGTGCTATTCTTGTAAAAAAAAAAATTGAAGAAAAAGGAACATAGCATGTCTCAACGTGTCTGCGGTGTGTTCAACTCCCTCTAGTGTTTTTGACTTGTGTTCGTGTCAGACACCGATATGTAACCTCTGGAGAGGTGTTCGTGTTTCATAGATGATGAGAATATATGAACCAACATCATAGTCATGCATGCACCTTAGTTCATTTTGGAACCTCTGATCTCTTTAACAGGGTGTAAAATGGCCGCAGAAAATTTATGACAACTGATAGGAAATTGTACAATAAGCTTTACAAGTTTTGACATAATTATATTGAGCTCCCTTGAGGTTTTAATTCATATGACCCTTAGCCCCTTTTTTGATCAATAATGTTAGTTACATGGATGAAAAAATAACGACATCATCTTTTTTTATTGGAAAATGTATATTTTACGTTGTTTATTTTCGTATCTTCACACGATCTGCACTATAAATATAAGGGTAAAATTACATTGACCTCCCTTGAGGTTTAGAAAAAATACACTAAGCCCCATAGTTTTAACATAATTACATTGAGCTCGCTTTAGGTTTTAATTTTCATAACACTAAGCCCCTTTTATGATCAATAATTTGTTAGTTGTATGAATGAAAAAATATTTTTTCTACATGAAAATATATATTTTGCGTTGTTTATTTTTTGTGTTTTCACATCATCTGCATTAGTTCCGATCCAATTAACCTTACTAAAAGGGAGGTTAGTGTAATTATGTCAAAAATGTAAGGCTTTTATTGTATTTTTTCCAAACCTCAAGAGAGGTCAGTGTAATTTACCCTTAATATAAATATGATGGAATGAGGGAAAGAACCCTAAGTTACTCTCTTCTCTTGTGTCTCGCACTGGTATCTCTCTCTCAATATGATGTAAGTAAACATGTGTATGACGTGTGTTGTATTAATGTTAGTTGGTGTAGAGTTCCTTGTCTGTAAATAGGGAATTTTAAGTCCAATAACCAGCTTTTGACCATTTTGTAATAGATATTTTCAGAATTCTCAGAGATTCTTTCTCTAGATCTCAATAGAGATTTCTCTGTCTAGAATTTCTTCTTTCGTTGACTTTGGATTCAACACAATATCCTTGGGTTTATCCATACTTCTTCTCTCTAAATCTAAATTTATCCTACCTTACCAATGCTATAGTTGCTCAAGCATCCTCTCCAAAAAGAAACTCAAGACAATTATATTGTAAAGATGTAATAAATTAGGAGGAATGCAAATCCTGTTCTTGTTCTACGTGCTCCCTACATATGGTGTTCATGTGTTAATTGAAATTGCATTCCTCTGAGGATGAGATTCACAAAAAGAGTGGTCATCTCATTTCCATTTGGGGGAGGTAATCCCATTCCCAACTTCTTCATAAATGAAGGCATAAATATATGGGGACATATGATGGATGTATTTTTTAAAAGCACTCGAAGATTGTCTAATAACAAATAAATTTACAAAATGTATTTAGGAGTATAAGCCTTGGTGAATGAGCCAAGCTTTTTAAATTCTATGCTATAGCTTCCATGTTGAGCTAGTATAACAGTTGTGTTGTTTGTTGAGGAACTAACAACAAATAAGCGAAGTTATTTCTCCTCCCAAGCCAGGTCATATCACTACTGAAATGAACATATTTTGGTAAATGCACCAAGCTACACATCTTCAAGCTTAGGCCCACCTTTACCTATTTTGTTAACCATCTCATTCGAAAGTGGCATGTAGCATGTATAAGAGCCAAAATAGGAGTGAGAGACAATCTTTGAAAGGAGCGAGATTGATTGATAAAGGTAGGTCACTTAGAAAGGAGAGCTTGACCAGGAAATGATTTCAAAGGCAAATGGTTTCCTAGGAAGGATAACGTGGTTGGTTGTTTTATACCTATGAAGCACTCACACTTCAATATAAGTGTCGTAGTTGTGTCGGACATGAGGATGCATATGGGGCATGCCACATGGCGCGTCTCTTTAGTGCTTTTGATGGATGTTTATTCATTTTTGCTTAGATTTAAATACTTCATAGATCATTCATAAAAAAGGTATAAACGATAAATGTTAATTTAAAAGTGATTTTTTTTCTTTCTTAAATATTGACTGTATTAGTTTTTGTTAATTTTGATTGTTTGTAGATGTAATATTAATCTATATAACAAATAAAAATATGTGAAAAAATATTTTATTGTCGTGTCCCGACTGTGTTCGTGTCTCTATTTTTTTTTAAATCACTCTGTCCCATGTCTGTATTCATATCCATGTCCGTGTTTGTGCTTCTTAATTTTATACAAAAATCATGGAATTATTAATTTTTTTTTTATTATTCAGAAGCTTGAATTGAATGATGCTAGAATGCCATTACTAGCTTCAAATGTCTGCACATCAAGGGAAACAATGATTTCCTCAAAAGTAGTTCCGGGAATCAAGGTGATTGCCGATGTTTTATCCAATAGATCAGCCTCTGAACCTCTTTGAGATCCATTTGAATTCCACTTGTAAGTAGCTAGCTTAATTGAAGATTTCTTGGTGAAGTGACCATATCCTCTACGCTTCCTTCATCTGTCAAATGAGTTGCTAGTAAAATCCATTTTTTGGGCTTCTTGAAGTCCTTTACATCAATGCTAGAATCATATTTTCAATGCGTTGTCTCCAGTGTAGGAAATAAGAGAGATGGTATTAGCACAATCTTTATTAATGAACCCAATCCCAGCTTGCCTTTGTTTCTGAGGGAGCATCATGAAAAGAAAGTTAAGTGATGCAGGACGAATAGGGACAGCAGCAAATCTAGCCTTTTGGGGCTGATTTTAATTGGATTTAATGGCTGCAATTGCAATAAGAATATAGGGAACAAGTAGGGTTTGTTTGGGGTAATAAATAGGTAAGAGTTTAAGCATGAAAGATGGGATTTTAGCACTGTTTAGGGGCTGTATAAGGCTGTGAACAGTAACTCGTGAATAGTAAACTAAAATAGAAAAGAAGAGGAAAGAAGAGAAGAAGATAGGTTTAGGAATCACTCTTAGAATTCCTTAGGCATCACCTGGGGTTTGATTGCATTACACAATCCATAAAAAAGCTTCATTGAATTATAAGCATTACATGGCTTTATATAGAATTAAGAGACTTCCTAAACCAACTATAACAAAAAAAGGAAACTATTATAATATATTTGATTTATAAAACTAATTTAAGACTAAATAAGAAATATAAATAAAACCTAATTAAATAATTTGACCCACACAATGACTCATGGGCGACCCATACAACCCATGTTAGCAAATATAAAATTACTAAAATACCCTTGCCTAAAAATCTTAGAAAACATAAAAATAATCATCAAATAGAACTATAATAATATTAGAAACATGATTATGTATGGTTCCTATCGATCTCTCTTTGAAACCATTTAAATTTCCAAACATCGCCGCTTCTTTGAATTTACTCTTCCTCGAGCTTTTTATATTCTTCATCATTAAGCTTCAAACTTTTCTTAGGAAGGAAACCAAGATGTGATGTAACACCAAGGACAGAAGAAAGAATTTTAAATAAATGAAAGAAAATGGGCATCGCAATCTCAAATCAATATCTCAATAATTAATATTGGGCGAATTTCACTTTAGCCCCTTGTGGTTTGGCCCATGTGCAGATTGCCCCGTTATCATTTGGAAATAACCACATAACCTCTTCGTGGTTTGTAGACTGAAGTGCATTGTCAGGCATTCTATCTAAGTTAATGGCAAGTGTGAAACACGTGTCAAAATGTAAGGGGGCTATGTGCTCATTTCCAAATATCAAGGGATATATTGCACATGGAATAAAGTACAAAGGGTTAAAGTGAATTTAACTGCCCAAAAAACTGACGAAAATATCTATTGTTTGCACAATGAGGTTACTTATATACAAGGGTATTTTAGTCTTTTTGCTTGTGCTATTAATGGGCCTAATGGTGCACTTTTGTTCACAAACCACAAGGGGTTTATATGCATATTTCCAAATGACAAGGGGTTATGTGCACATGGTTTAAACCACAAGGGGAGTAAAGTGAAATTTGCCCATCAATATTTATATCAAGACTAGTCTTTTAAAACTATTATATAAAGCCGTATATATACGCATCCTATTAACCTTTTTGAAGTTGCCAAAAATAAAACACTACACTAATATAATTCTGAATTAAAGTAAAACTTCGTAAATATTTTTTTTTAAAAGTGTTCAATTATCTCTTTATCCATAGCCTTTTTGATCCCCATTACTAATAGTCTTGTTGCATCCTGTAACCCTTCATTGGGTTTCTTATGGTATGAAATTCTGAAGGGAAGATATATTATCTTCCATCTCTTTTAAATTATAATCCTTATTATTGTTGTTTCCTTACTGTAAAGCATGTTTTCCCATTCACTTTAGATCAGATTGTACTTTTTTTTTTAACCTCCTTATATTGTTGTTGTTGCTTCTGTTGTTCGAAGTCTGTGGATGTTTGTGTGGCTGTATAAATGCACACCTGCATTCCACCTATATTGATATTGACTGTGTTGTTTGCTGCAAATGCAAAGTAACTGTGCTGTTTTATTTGTAGGTGGTCTGCAGAATGTGGAGCATGTAGGAATGGATCCCCAGAACTGCATGATATGCTAGCTGAATACATATATTCTGAATCTCCTGAGGTGGTAGGTATCCCAGCAGAATTGTAGGCTCCAAGTATTGGGTTATTTCACTTTTCTTTTTCCTCCTATTTTACCGTGCAAACAAACTAGATTTGAAGTTGTACACATTATGACCAGTTTTTCCCTGATTCAGCACAATGATTATTTTTGTAGTTCCAATCTATAAGGTGAAGAGGAGTGCTAAAAATACTAAACTGCTAATAGAATTTGTGCTTGAAATGACTCACCACCCAGAATAAATGGATATTTAACTTACAAAAATGATACAATGCTTAGCACATGCTAAGATGTCTAATGGAATCTTTTCTTGCCGTTTCATGTACCATTTGAAAATGGTTATCTTGCTGTTCTTTGTATATGAGGTGATTATTTCCTGATTCCTTGTAAGATCATGAGGAGATTGATCACTGGGTTCATGATGTGACCTCTTGAAAATTTGAAAAAGAAAATCTGAAAAACTGATTTTTAATTCTTAGGGTTAAAATCTTTTTGTACCTTTTTGAAAAAAAGATTAAAATCTCATAACGCCCTGAACATTTCAAGGAAATAACCAACTTTTAAATACCTGCTGGCAAGGTTGAATTGGACTCTTTGTTGTGTTGTTTATTTTTGGGGTTCTATTTAAGGTGATAAATTTGTGCCTTAAAAAGGTTTGGAAATATAGATTTAGCGATTTTGTTTCATTGGCATTCATGACGTCCACTTGACAGACGACAGTATCTGGCTTTTATTTCGTTGCAATTTAGTTTGTGTCAAACCATATGTTCCAATTATTACGTTGCATTTTGTTGGCTCTTGTGATTTATTGGTACATCAATATCATAATACTGTTGCTTTTCAGGACATGACTAGAGTATCTTCTTATTTTGTTCGGGGGAAACAACCTAGGAAGTTTGCTTCAACACTAGTTAATTTTATGGGCAAGGTAAGGCTTCTTCTGATTTTTAATATATCTTTTTCTTGAAGTCAACCATGAAGATGCTAGAGGTCCGCAAACTTTACTCCTGAAACCTCCCCTTTGGAAACAAAATGCAATTTCTCTGTTATTCAGTTTTATTGAAATAAGGTTCTAGAATACCTTAACATCTAATCTCCACTGATATTGCTATTGGATACAAATTCTGGAATCTAAATGTCACATAGATATCTTACTGTTGTAATAGTCATGTAAAAGTGCTGAGTTTTCATTCTGTTTGTTCTCAAATATGATGCATGGTGTAACCTGTGTGAAATTCTAGATGTATGCAATACCACAGCTTATGTTGATTAATTGGACTGTTTTGCCAAATTTCATACCATCGTTTTCAATGTAATGTTTGATTGTTGTTAAATGCATTAAACTCATATACCTATTCAACTATGCAGTGTTATCCAGGGGAAGATGATTTAGCCATTGCGAGGGCCATTTTGCTGTAAGTATATTTCACAATTAGATCGCAGCCTCCAGGTTTAAGATTACATAGTTGTTGAACACTATATCTTGATCATAATGCTTGGGTCCTCAATAAAACCGGGAATGTTGAAATCTAAGAAGCACGCATACTCCTAAGGTAACATGCCATGTCCGACACGACACAACACTCGTCCTAACACTAGACACACAAGAAACACATTACAAGTTTGAATAAAATAAATTAAAATCTGATAACAGAACAATGTAAATTTATACCTATTCTTCTCATTTAGACTTAGAAAATTATTATTTTTGAGTGAAATATTCATATACGTGACATATAAAAATTATTTAAATATATATATATAACATATAATAACTATATTAAATTATATATTTTGCACGTGTTCTCCACCTATTGTGTCCTACATTTTTTAAAACATTTTGTGTTGGCGCGTCAGTATTGTGTCACATGTGTCTGTGTCAGTGCTTCTTAGGTTGAAATAACCAAGCCCCCACTCCCTCGCTTCCCATTTTGCCTGATGGAAACCTAGGAGAGTCAAAATAGTGGGAAACAATTGGTATCAGATGTTGCCTTAGTAACTTAACAGTCTATTTGGATGGGGTGATTTGGTGAGAAGTGATGAGAATGAGAACTCACTCATGCTTGGTTTATAAATTAGATGAAAAATGGTGAGAAAGAGAACTCTCTTGTTTTGCCTAGTTCATTTCTCACCGATAGTGGTGAGAAACAAGCTGATTTGTTATTAAAATTTCATAATTCGAAGATTGTCCATGTCACGACCCTATTCTGCCTCAAACCGGATAGTGACTATGACCGGCTAGTAGTGTCCAACTACCAAAGGCCTGAAACAAGACAAGACTGAACTACAACCTTGGGGCTTAAGCGGAATAACCTGTTCATTATATTATTCAAAATCCATTCAGAGCAAGTGCATAAGTAGGACAAAGACAAAACAAGCATACATTTTATTTATTTACCTTGATACTTACATGTCCAAACAACAAAAGAAAAGGGTACAACATCAAAAGTCATCCTTACAAAAAACCAAACCATAAAGACAAAACTCTAGTTTCAAGGTTATGACTCTCCAAAAGACAAAATAAAAGAAAAAGGGTTCTAGTGCGACTTTTCTCCGTGTCCTTGTTCCTCATCTTGACCTACATACATATAAGGGAGAGGGTGAGCCATTGCCTAGTGAATGGTAATAAAGTAAGGCGGCAGGTGAATAAACATTTAAAGCTTTAAATATTCTTTCAAAATAGCATATTCACTTGTACAAGACAAAGCATAGCTTGACTTGCAAACAACATACATAGTGATGAGCATTTCAGGGATTATAGGGTGCGTAACAGGCCCGGGTACCGGCTAAACATAACAAGATGAACTTGGCTATAATACATGATTGGATATTCCCCTAATTATGGGGCATGATCCAAGAATGTGATCTAAGTACATGATATAAAAGTATAAAATGTTCATTCATAGTAAAACATAACAAGCTTGTAAACATAATCAAGTTTTGCATTGGAAACATAATTTGTTAAACATAGTGTTACTAAATTACTACTCACAAATTGCTCGGCTAGACAAGGTGTTTCCCTCCAAGACTTGACCTACACAAAACAATAGCAAACATTGAAACGCAGAAAACTCCCAAACTTCTTATAGAAATTTATCAATTCTCTTTTCTAGTTAAACATGTTTCAAGTGGGATTCAAATTATGTCACTCATGTGTCTAGGTCTAAAACATGCCTAAAAAATGTCCAAGGGAGAGAATTGAGCGAAATCAAGTTTGAAATTTTCCAAAACTGGCCAATCCGCTCAAGCGGTCTCTTCACTGTTCAAGCAGTGAATGAATATTTCCAGAAGTTTAGGTCTGCAAAAAAGTGATTCTGGGAGTGTCTAAAGTGTGCTTGAGCCACCCTTCAACCGCTCGAGCGGTTAACCGACTTAGACAGGTTCCTGGGCGGTCCGCTCGAGCGGTCTCTTCACCACTCGAGCAGTGATCTGCAGAACAGGTCCTGCAGTTCGCGAATTGCTCTGTTCTAGGCTGTTCTAGGGCTTCTTTACTCAATTTCAAGCTTTCAAATCCCAAATCTTGATCCATAATAGAAACTTAGGATTATGCATAGTTTTGAAGATTAAACAAGTAATAGATAGTTTAATTCAAGTTTCTCAACCCTTTTTTTTATTCAATGTTTTCAATTTTCAAAACCAAGTTCTAAAGCTTCTTAGTTACAAATAAAAGGTATAGGTTCATAGCATAATACTTGGCTTGCTCAAATCTTGCATAAAACTAGTTCAAAACATAGTTTTTCCATCATTTCTTCAAACTCTATCGTAGCTTCCAAACTTTATTATTTTCTTTCTATTTCAATATTCCAAAACTTATTCCTAATCAATTTTTGGTTATGTTTTGATTTGAGAATATGGAAGAGGGTCGAGTTTCTTACCTCATAGTGATTTTCTGGGAATTTCTAGGCTTGAATCCTTAGCTCTTTTGAATTTTCTTTCCTTTTCTCTCTTTTCTCTCCTTTTTCTCCTTCTCTTCTTCCTCTTCTCCCCTGATTGTTCTTGAATTCCCAGCAAATACCTTATTTGTTTGGTTTGGAACGTGAGGTTTTGTCGTATGTGGTAAGGGCAAAGGTAGAGTGGTGCTTGCTTGATTACTTTTAACAAATCTAACTTATTTATCTTAATTAACTAAGGTTTGTACTAATTAATCTTTATTACTTAACTTAATTAATCCTAATTAGCAAAACATCAATTAGCATCTAACGAACAAGTTCATTAGACTAAAGCCTTTAAGCTCCTCAATTAAGGCATAGGGGCATTGTATGGTTCTCAAATTCCAATCTAAACCATCCCCTAACTTCAAGCGTGAAACAAGCAATATTTTCCAAGCTTAGGTTTCTAAACTAACTTCTCCTTCTCCTTCTCCTTCTCCTATACTCCTACCAAGTTCTAGTTCAAGCAAATAAACACTTAACATGAGATTGACATGCGTGAATGTCATGATATGCATATGCATGAAGTGTCAGGTGTCACAGTCCATTAAAATTCAAATGGAAAAAAAGAAGAAGAAGAAGAAGAAATCTCCCTCATATCCTCTCACATTCTTTGCTTTCTTGTCCATCTAAACATGATAGTGAAAAAAACATAATCATTTCTTTTCTTTTCTCATCCAGATGAGAAACCACAATCATTTCTTTTCTTTTCTTAGATGAGAAACCACAATCGTTTCTTTTCTTTTGTCACCCGTAATACCAAACAGAAGCTAAGTGATATTCCTCGTAATTGAAGGGTTCTAGGCTATCTGGATTACTTGATGGTAGTTGACGAAACCAAATATTTGCTGGGTGTTTTTTTGCTACTTTAGCTTTCAAATTTCAATTAGGTTCATTGATTGTTTCTTTTTCCCTGGTAGGTATTTATCTCTTGGCAATCTGAGAGATGCTAATTGTCTTCTGGATGAGGTAAAAAAACAAGTAAAAGCTAATAAGCAGCTTGAGTTCCCTAGCTCAGATTTGATCCAGTTCATCAGTTACCTTTTGCAGACGTAAGTTATATTTAAATTGTTTACATTTATGTCTATTAGATACAAATGAATCTCTTCTGCTGAGAAAGGATGTTTACCCACTATATGGGAGTCCGCATGAATGCTCGGATTTTAGAGTTGGCTGATCATACTGCTTTTTAATTTATAGATGGGCTGCATCCTGATTAATTTTTTTTTTAATGTGATCCTTGGCCTTGTTTGCTAACACTTCTGTTTCCTGTTTTCTTTTTTCATTTTTTTGTAAACTAGAAATGAAAACTTGTTGGGTATGTGTTTTCGTTTTCAAGAAAGTGGAATTGATTTTAAAATTTTAAAATTTTTTGGAAATGAAAGAAAGTGTTCCACTTATTTTCAAAACAAGTTTTCACTCTCTCTGGCTACCACCCGTCGCCGGTACTGCCAGCTAGCTCCAACAAGCTCCAGTCGCCATCCAAAGACTGACTGGTCACTGCTTGTGACCTCTGGCTGCGACACTCCAGCCACCAACTTTGGCAGCCACGCCCACCACCAGTCACCACATCTGTCCACCCTCCACTACCTCCGGCAATTCACCAAACAAGTTTTTGTTTCAAAATTATATCTTCTATACTATATATAAAGCAAAGGCTGGAGTCGGTGTCTTGAAGCCTTTGCTTCTCTTTTTGCCAAGTGGGTTTTCTTATTTTTCTATTTAAAAAGGAAAATTATATAGAGAGGACAATGAAACTTGAAACCAATACCGTAAGTCTGGTAGAGAATGCCCTTACCACTTGAGTAACACACAATATGTAGTTAATAGTTTGTTTTGTTTTTACTTATTTGAATTACACACGCGTTGCGTGTGCCAACCACCAGTATATATATATATATAGAAAGGAGGAAACTGACAACATTATCAAACAACAGAGCCAATTGACAAAGTTTCAATTGGCCTCAACTTTCTCTATAAAAAAGGAAAAGAAACAAAAAAAAGAATAAAAATACATCACTACTTTCTTATTTCATTTATTCAAATTTGTATTGGCAACTACTTATTTTAGAATAACAAAAATTGCAGAAGAAAGGGTGCAATTGGTACATCAAAATTATTATTATTTTTTGATCGGCGAAAGTAGTTATTAGTTGTTAGATTAGATTAGCTCTTGGGGGGAATTGAACCCCCAACCTCTCCTTTGCAAGCAGCTAAGTGCTACCTCCATGCCACTAGGCCATAAGGCCATGGGCAATTTGTACATCATTTTTACTGGCTCCCTACTGATCAACAAATGTTTTGGTTTTTGTTGATTTTGTGGAGGATTTGATTAGTTAGTAGTGTTTTTTTTTTTTTAGTTTTTTTTTAAGCTTTGTTTGGGCTTTGTTGTATTCTCTGCGTTGTCTTGATGCTTTTTAATAAAGTTTTTCTTACTTATCAAAAAAAAAAAAAATGTATTGAAGGGTTAGATTTCTGGTAGCCACTATCATCGACACGATGACATAATGCATATGTTTAGAGCTTTAGATATTGCCCACTTCTGCTCTAATTGTTTATGTTTTTCAAGTCTGAAGTCTCATTTTAGTTTAGTCTTCCTAAACTTGGTCATCTTAGTTAGACTGTATAATGAAGAAGAAGAAGAAGAAAGAGTAATTTTTATATATATTTGGAATGATTGTTCACTCTACATCAGCAAAAATATATATACAAACCCTAACATACTGAAATGACCATCATACCCTCAACTTAAGTAAATATTAATAGAAGAACAATAAAACTATTCTAACACTCCCTCTCAAGCTGGAGCATAGAGGTCAAACATGCCAAGCTTGACAGATAAACGATGAAACGAAGACTGAGCCAAAGGTTTAGTGAGAATATCACCCAATTGATCTTCAAAACGAACATAAGGAGTCACAAGTTGCTTGTGTAGTAAGGGATCACGAATAAAATGACAATTAACTGCGATATGTTTGGTTCGTTCATGAAATATGGGATTATTGGTAATGAAGATAACAGCCTGATTATCACAAGACATACTCATAGTAGTGGAAACAGAAAAACCAAAATCCCAAAGAAGATACTGAACTCAAAGCATCTCAGAAGTAGTATAAGCCATGGCACGGTACCCAGCCTTGGCACTAGAACGAGTAACAACAGGCTGTTTCTTGCTATGCCAGGTAACAAGATTACCATCAACAAAGGTACAATAGCCCGAGGTGGAACGACGGTCAGTCCTATTACCAGCCCAATCAGCATCACTGAAGCCAGTGATAAATAACGAGGAAGATAGGCGATATAGCAAACCCTGACTAGGGGCACTCTTTAAGAACTGCAAAATGCGACACACATTAGTAAAATTGGGTTGGCGGGGAGCATGCATAAACTAACTAACGACATCCACTGCATACGCAATATCGGGACGAGTGATGGTGAGATAGATTAACTTTCCAACCAAACAACGATAATGACAAATATCAGGAAACAAGTCCCAGTTTCACCATCAAGTTTGACACTAGAATCCATGGGAGTATCACTAGGGCGAGCGCCTAAGAGGCTAGTCTCAGTGAGGAGATCAAGAACATACTTCTGTTAGGAGAAAAACAATCCCTGAGAAGAGCGAGCAACTTCAATTCCAAGAAAATATCGAAGATGACCCAAGTCTTTGGTGTGAAATTATTGGCTCAAATACTTCTTCAGGTCAGCAATACCAGTGGAGTCACTCCCAGAAATGATGATGTCATCGACATAGACAACAAGAACAATACTCCCAGTAGACGAGTGCCGAACAAAGACAGAGTGATCAGAAGTGGAACGGTGAAAACCATAGGCAAGCACAATAGCACTGAAACAATCAAACTAGGCATGAGGGGATTGCTTGAGACCATACAAGGCCTTTCGCAATTGACAAACAAGATGCTTATGATCGGGAACAACATAGCCAGGGGGTTGATCCATATAGACCTCCTCTTGGAGATCGCCATGAAGAAAGGCATTTTTGATATCCAGCTGATACAAAGGCCAAGATTGACTAACTGCAACGGAGATAAGGATCTGAACAAAATTAAGATGTGCCACAGGAGAGAAAGTCTCCAAGTAATCAACACGATAGGTTTGTGTGTAGCCTTTGGCTACCAGGCAAGCCTTAAGCCACTCAACAGTCCCATCAAAAAGATACTTAACAGTATAAACCCAACGACAACCCACACTAGATTTGCCAGAATGTAGAGGGGTAAGTTCCCACGTGTGATTCTTATGAAGGGCATGCATTTCCTCGTCCATTGCATGCTTCCAACCAGAGATGGACATAGCTTGCTGATAGGAGTGGGGAATGGTAATGCTAGACAAGCTACAAGCAAAGGAGTGAAGACCAAGAGAAATATGATCATAAGAAACAAAATTAGCAATAGGATGTTGAGTGTAAGTATGTTTTACCTTTGCGGAGGGCAATAGGAAGGTCATCAGAAGGCACATCAACAGATGGAGTAGGGGAGTCAGGAACCTCAGACGAATGAGATGAGCTGGTTGGGCCATAAGATACAATGCGACGAGCTTGAGACTGCTGATAAACCTGCAAATGAGGGATAAAGGGGAGATTAGAGGGAGAGGATATTGAAGAAGAGGAGGACGGAACACAAGACGAAAAGTTGGGGTGAGAGAAGCGGGTCTCACGACAAGAGAGAAGATCAGTGGATAACTGTTGCCCAGAGGAGGAGAAAAAAGAAGTGGACTCAAAAATGGTAATATCAACACTGACAAAGTATCGACGTAACTTAGGATGATAACATCGATACCTTTTCTGAGTACGAGAGTAGCCTAAGAACACACACTTGCAAGCACGAGAGATAACTTATTTATGCTAGGGTCAAGAACATGAACCAAAACCACACAACCAAAAACATGAGGTGACAAGGAAAAAGGAGACGATGTGGGGTATAACTAAGAAGAGGGAGACGTGTGAACAATACTAGAAGGCATGCGATTAATAAGAAAACAAGCAGTGAGAACCACATCACCCTAAAACTATTTGGGAACATGCATATTAAACATTAGTGTGTGAGCAACATCTAACAAATGACAGTGTTTGTGCTCTGCAACACCATTTTGAGGTGATGTATGAGAACAACTAGTTTGATGAATAATACCACAAGCATCACAAAAGTTAGTCACAATAGACTGCACATACTAAGGTATTATCAAAATGAAATATCTTAATACATTTCCCAAATTGAGTGAAGATTTCATTGTAAGACTTAGAGATAATAAATGGCAAATTAGATCTTTGTTTCATTAAAAACAACTAAGTCATCTGAGAGTAATCATCTACAAAAATAACAAAATAAAAAAAACCATTAACAGTGGGAGTTCTAGACGGACCCTAGATATTTGTATGGACAAGAGTAAAAGACTCAGACACACGACTAACACTCATACTAGGAAAAGAACTACAATGGTGCTTTCCAAATTGACAAGCTTCACACTCAATCGGAGCAACTCAAACCAGGACCAGCTAACTTGGGGTTGGCCAAAGAAGGATGATCTAAGCAGAAATGCCACTGAAGAGAAGAGACAATAGCACTCAACCCAGTAGATGGAGGATGAGGAGGAATCTCTGTGTCTAAAAAGTATAAGCCATCCTTCTCATGAGCTGAACCAATCATCCTCTTCGTTTGGAGGTCTTGTAAAACACATGAAGTGGGAGAAAAGGTTACAGAACAGTGGAGAGCTTGAGTTAATTGGCTAACAAAAAGCAAATTAAATGGAAACTTAGGAACATAGAGACCAGAGGGTAAGGAAAAGGATGGAGTGGGGTGAAGAGGACCTTGACCACTAACAGATCGAGAAGATCCATCAACAAGTATAATAGTATGCTCAACAGGTCTCAGATTATCAAAAAGAGAGGAATTATCAGAGATATAGGAACTAGCACTAGAGTCTAGGAGCCAAGGCTGAGTAGACTTAGCTATACATGCAATATTACTTGAACTGGCCAAATTAGCAGTAGAGGATGAAGGTATACTAGGCCGGAGAGATTGGACAAGAGCAGTAAGCTCATTAATCTGAGTAGTGTCTCATGAGAATCAACTGGAGAAGCAATAGAACCAGTGGAAAACAAGGAGGATTGCGAGGATGGGGCATCCATAACCTGATGCACATGGTCAGGTTTGTTATACTTCTGCCAACGCCAAGGTTCAGTATGACCTTGGGAACCACAATGAGTACACTTGCAATCACCATGTGTACGAGAGCTAGGTCCACTACTACTCCCACCACGGAAACCACCACCACGAGAACCTCATGAACCGTAAGAAGAGCCCTGACGGCCAGATGGGCCATGAAAACTCGAAAAACCCCCTCGAGTAGGTCCACGATCTCTATTACTAGAGACCATTGTAGAGGATGGCAAAGTAGAGGACCCAGTGGTAGGTTGTGCCTGACCTAACAACCTAGAGTAGGCATTAGCAGTAGAAAGTAGAATCTCACTAGCAAGAATCTGATCCTTAAACCCCTACAATTTAGGATCTATGTCCAAGAGTAAAGAAGTAGTAAAGAAGCCATCATAAACTCCTCCCAATGTTACTTTTGTTTGTTCACATCAGTAGTAAAGGATTGATACTGCAATAACTAATCCCACCAGATCTTACGACTACTATAATACTCGGGAAGGGACCGGCTAGATTAGCGCATAGCAAAGATTTGTCCATATAACTCATAGACCCGAGAGACATTACTTTGGTTTGAAAAAGATTCAGCAAGGGAGTCCTATATGTCCTTAGAGGTATCACAAAATTCCACGGTAGTGGCGACATGTGGTTCCAAACTGTGCCAAATTCAACCCATAACACAAGAATCCTCACTACACCAATCATCATATGCTTTATCATCAATGGCAGGAGGGAGTTCGCTAAGGAAGCGAGACTTCTTCTTGCCACGCAAGAAAATTTTGATTGCATGAGCCCAAGCCAAATAGTTGGCACCATTCAATTTCTTTGTAGTGATAGATTTAGGCATGTCATCATCTTTACCCACAACCATAGCCCTAGCCTCAATCTCTGCCATGATGATCAATCACACAGAATACGCAACAAACGAGCACAAATGTAGCAAAATACTTGTAAATCGTCACTTAGCAACTAGTACCCACAACAACCAATATAGGTAACAGGACTAGCTCAACAAATAGGAATCCATGATAAATCAGGCAAAAGTGGGGAAGACACAAATCTACCAAACAGATTCAAACCCAAATTGAACCAACACAACACCTCACTAGCAGAAATTAACACTGAAGATCAATTATCCCTTTCTAGAAGGATTGCAGCACCTATATAGTCAATTTCAACAGGTAGAAATGGGAAAAAAAGGAGCCTACTGAACAGATACAGAATCTGCCAAACAGATAGGAGCACAAATTTGAACCAAATTCTCAAAATCTGTAGAACACTTAATGAATGATAGATTGCTCTGATACCAAGTTATAATGTATAATGAAAAAATTTAGTGTTAGGGTCTATACGGTTTAAGAGAAAGAAGTGAGGGACAGTAATTTTTATATATATCTGGAATGATTGTTCACTCTACATCAGTAAAAATATATATACAAACCCTAACATAATGAAATGACCATCATACCCTCAACTTAATTAAATATTAACAGAAGAAAATAAAACAGAGAAAATAACTATTCTATCAATCTTTCATTTACTCGTCAAACTCATATATTTTTGACATTCTAAGTAGAACATAATTGCTTGACTTGGCCATTCATTTTTCTGTTTATGCATTAACCTTTGACAAGGAGATGGGCTTACTCTTGGTTATTAAAAAAAAAAAGAAAAAAAAAGAAAGAGAGACAAGAGAGAGATTGAATTTTTCAATGTTCTTTCCAATGCAGGTTACAGAGGGATGCTTTGCCCTTGTTTAATATGTTGAGAAAGACTTACAAGTCCAGCATTGATATAGAACCTGTATTGAATGAGGTGTGTGGTTTTTGGTCCAAAATAGTATATTCAAGTTCTCTATGAATGCGTATTGAGCAACCTTTTCTCTTTTTTGATACATAAAACAAATGTATCTGCCACAACAGTGTATTTCTTATTCTTTTGCTGCTGGCTTGATATCTCTAGTTCATTTCCTTAACTGACATATCTTACTGTTTAGTTGCTCGATGGAATTGCGGAGAAGTTTTATGGAGTACGGCGCAGAAATCCCCTGCAAGGGATTTTTGGAGATTTCTTCAAGGTAATTATGGTGTTATTTTCCTTCACTATAGTTAGGACTAGTGAAATCCCATCAATGGGTGTGGCTCATAAATACCAAACTAAGCTTTGTGTTTCGATCAGATGAGATTGGATAAATGAATCGTTTTCGGTCATTTCTTTTCTCTCTATCAAAAAAAGCTATATCCTTAGTTAAATTAAATAAATTCAATTTTTTTAGTACCAATCTCATTTTAGTTTTGATCTTTCTCTCCCCCGTCTTCATTATACATGACTCAAATAGAATGCCTAAAAACGTGGTACCAATAAATTTTTTTCGCTTCAAGTTTGGGGTATTATTATCATTGTAATGCGTATTTATCGTTTCTCAAACTAATATGGAAAAGTTAAAAAAAACAAAATTATCCAAAAGAATTGAACATTGTTAGTGAAATTATCCAAAAGAATTGAACAAAATTATCCAATTATTCTTGTTAGTGAAATTATTACTTGAAATATTCATTCTTCTATTTTGCAGATGATGGGTGGTGATGGCATGTAGCATACAATTGCAATCTTTTGCTACTCTGAATAATGATCCAACATTGTTATTCCATTGTGCTGTTACATCAGTTGATGTGTTTGACCCTTTTGGAAGCAGTTTTCTGGAAGCTCTGAATGTTGTCTGTCATTTTGTTTTTTATTTTGTGGTTTTGTTTTGTTGTTTTTTTTCTGTTTTAGGGTGTGTGGAAAAAAACTGTATAATTGTTGACAGTAGAAAATGTTTGATTTGCGCTTGTACCATTTGGAAGTGTTCTATTTAATATATCAAATCCAGCAGTAAATCAGCACAATAGGCTTGAAAAGTAATAACTATTAGTATTGTATAAAACAGGTACTTTTATTGTGTTATTAATATAAGGAAAAGTTAAATTTCAAGAGTAATTGTGAACATTTAATTTGTTTTGCAAGAATATATTGAAATTGAAGTGATACAAAATTATTGTGAAAACTATAATAGAAATTATATTGCAATAGATGTTAAGGAAAAATTTTATTCATGAATATTTACTACTATTTTAAAAAAAATTTAACATCATTGTCAATTTTGGGAGTTTTGGTCTCTTGAACAGTCAATCGTCCTATAAACCCATCCCACACAATAAGCTGACAACCAAAGCACAAATCCCATCTCTTCACCGAAGTACTTTCTCTGCCCTTCCCTCGTGTACTCCCTTTGCTCTTTACCCTCATTCTTTGCAAAATGCTTGCGGATTTGACATAGCCACCCATGGCCACACCATCTCCTGTTGCCCATGCTTAGCTTGCAACCCTTACCCTTTGCAACCTTGGCCTTGTGTCACACACCGGCTATGCGGAAGCCTTGTCAAGAGATGCAAGTGTGGCACTAGTTGACTCTTGTCACTAGCCGACCAATAAAGCTCAAACGGTTTGCAAGGACAAGCGAACACGATATTAGTTAGTTTATGAGTCACTAGGTTGGAGACAAGTCACAAATTAGCAAGCAACAAGTTAAAATTAAAACGAGCAATATTAGAAAAGCTTTGCACAATTTAAAGGCAAAATGAATTTTTCATTGATCAAAAGTAGGCATTACATGAGTTAATCAATGCACCAAAAGTGCTACAAAAGTTGCTTTACTATTGGCTAGGTTGGGGTACTTTAAAGGTGCAAGTGGTCTGGTTCAATACTTGGGTATTCCCTCCTTAATATAGCTTGTTAAGCCTTTTCCTAACCGGTAAGAGGAAACATCCTCTATGTTTGAGGAGTCATAATGAATTTCTAAAAATTTTACAAAACGAGAAAAATTACAAAACTTGGTCTCAAAACACATTTAATACTAAGGTATTTACATAAAAATTTTCAAGGCAAAAAGACTACATTTGACCTTCTAAAATGTGGCCAAAAGTTACTGCTGCACAAGCAAGGCTAAGGCCTACTGTGGTTGGGACCACGACTTGTTGTGGCTTGGCGCTATTGCTGGGCTGCGGCCTGGGCCGCTGCTGGCTGTTGCTGGTTGCGGCTAGGGATGGCAATTTGAAGTCAGCCTGACGGGGACTTGATCCCCCGACCTCGATTAGAACGGGTTTTCCTCGAAAATTATCTCCATAGAGCCAGGAATAGTATTGAAAATTAAATCCCTATCGGTTTTCGGGCCAGGGACGGGGATAAGTTTTTCCCGTCCCGGCCCCGTATAATCCTTGAATAATTCCCCGAATATTCCCCGAATATTCTCCATATATATATATATGTTTAGGTTGAGTCTGCCCCTCTTCCTCCCACTCACTCACACTCACTGCTCTTTCTTCTCTCCTCTCAGTCTCTCTTTATCTCTCTCTCACTCTGCTGCAGCCTGCAGGTGCTCCTCACAGTGGTGGCTCCTCCGCTATCCTCTCCTTCCTCCGATCTCATTAATCTTGCTGATCTTTCCGATCTCGCCGATCTCCCTCCTCTGATCTCGCCGATCTTTCCGATCTTACCGTCTCTCTGATTTTTCTTTTTTTAATCTGTGAAGTGATCATAAAAGACTCTGAGTCTATCATGCTATATGAACTCTCTGAGCTTCAAAATCGGTTGAAATCTCTTCTACTTAAACATGCTATGTTCCTGGACACTTTAAGACAATTAGAGGTATTCATCTTTGTAAATTTCTTTAGACCTGAACATTTTACTTATATAAACAAGTTTTAATATTTGTAGCCATTAATAATATGAAATAGTTATGTGATGTTAACTTGCTTCCTTTTTACAACAGTTCATTGTTTCATCTTGCAATTTTATCTGGAGTCATCGTACTTGTTGTATTACTGTTTTTATCTGCTGCATTATTTGTGTAGCTTGGGCTGCGGCCTGGTACTGCTGCTGGGCTACTGGCAAGGCTGCTGGCTACTATTGCAAGCTGTTATTGGCTTGCTGGCATTGCTGCGGCCTGGCTGTTGGCTGGTACTTTGGCTGGTGCTGGTGCTGGCTGGTTGTTGGCATGGGCTACTTCATGGCATGCCATGGGCTGTCTTGCACCATGCCTTGGGCCTTGGCTTGCACTTGCACCAACAACCTCTTGGGCATGTTTTTGGCTCTCAAAAGGGCACAAATGAGTGTGGCATCAAGGTGTTGACCCTTGGATGGGCGCACCTTGACAGTCTTCCCCACTTGAACGGTCGACGCCCTCGATGACTTTGCCCAATATGCATCAATCTCATCTTCAAAAGTCGACTAGTCCGCCTCCTGTTCCCAACTGATTTCTTCATGTCCAAGGCCTCTCCATTTTACCAAGTATTGCCTTTGTTTCTTCTAGGAAACCATTTTCACCCGATCGGCAAAGATAGATTCAATAGACTTTTTCCCTGTTTTGGTTGTGATGGTTTGGCGTTTCAGCTCATTTCGGATTGGATCCTCCTTGTCTGGATAGTAAGGCTTCAAATAACTCGCATGGAAAACCGAGTGCACTTTTAGCCAAGATGGACTATCTATCTTGTAAGCACACTTGCCAATTCTCTTCAGAATGCTTACCGGTCCCTCATACTTGCGCACTAGCCTTCTGTCTCTTCCCCTCATGAACTTGCATTGCTCAGGGTTGAGTTTGACGAGAACTTGATCCCCAGCTTTAAACTCAAGTGGTCTCCTCTTTTCATCAGCCCATTTCTTCATTTTACTTGCTGCTTTCTCATGATAGGCACGAGTAATGTCATGGTGTCTCTTCCATTCTTGAGCAAATTGGTATGCCCTGGGAGACTTTCCTTCATAAGGTCCATCCACTGTGTGGGGCAACAGTGGTTGTTGTCCATTTACTATCTCAAAAGCACTCTTGCCCGTAGAGCTACTCTTTTGAGAGTTGAAGCATAACTATGCTACATCAATAAGTTACACCTAATTTCGTTGATTAGCATTGACAAAGTGGCGCAAATACTCCTCGAGCATACAGTTAAAGCGTTCGGTTTGCACATCCATTTCCGGATGGTAGCTTGATGAAGTATTGAGTTATGAACCAAGAAGCTTGAATAACTCCGTCCAGAAGTTGTCAACAAAACCCGAATCTTAGTCACTAACAATACTTTTAGGCACACCCTAATATTTAACAATGTACTTGAAGAAGAGTTGGGCAGTCTCCTTTACTGAAACATACTTTGGGTCAGCTACGAAAGTGGCATACTTGGAGAACTGGTCCACAATAGTCAAGATAGTCCCGATGTCTCCCACTTTAGGCAGTCTAGTGATAAAGTCAAGCGATACACTTTCCTACGGACGTTTAGGCACGGGCAAACGTTCAAGTAAGCCTGCTTTCTTCTTATGTTCAACTTTGTTTTGCTGGCAAGAGAGACAAGTACGGACATATTCTTTCATATCATCACGCATCTGGGGCCAATAATATCCTTGTTTCACCAAGGCCAATGTTCGCTCCTAACCCGGATGTCCTACCCAAAGAGTATCATGGCAATCCCTAAAAAGTGTCTTCCTTAAATCACCGGCCCTGGGTATAAAGATGCGGTTGCCAGTTGTCATCAGTAGTCCATCTTACACCAAAAATTGGCGAGTTTTGCCCATTTTGACAAGGTTCATAAGATTCTCTGCCATTGTCACGACCCATAATCGCCCCTAAAAGTTTTGGGCATGACCACTTCAGAAACAGACATAAAACCAATATACTTAACGTATGGGGCCTGAACGGAAGCACCTGATAACCAAAAATCTATTCCATTGAGCTATCACTATTATGCCAGGATCACACACATTACGTAAGGTAGATGAACATACAGTAAATATACACCTGAACATCAGTAATAGACATACACATATATAGACCCGACCCCATGATTGGGCATATAACAAAAGCATTAGCGAGGAAGAGGTAATACACCTCTCAATATACAAAGCCCAAAAGCTGGGCGAAACCACATAACACACACGAGCTTCACTTAAGTGCCTGGACATACTGAGGTTGATAGAGCAGAGACGAGCATCAGGGTCAGGATTGACTCCAGGTTGAATACCTACAGCAGCAGACAAAATACAGAGTGAGATAGGCTCAGTGAATAGTAGTACTATAGACCCGACCCCATGATTGGGCATATAACAAAAGCATTAGCGAGGAAGAGGTAATACACCTCTCAATATACAAAGCCCAAAAGCTGGGCGAAACCACATAACACACACGAGCTTCACTTAAGTGCCTGGACATACTGAGGTTGATAGAGCAGAGACGAGCATCAGGGTTAGGATTGACTCCAGGTTGAATACCTACAGCAGCAAACAAAATACAGAGTGAGCTAGGCTCAGTGAATAGTAGTACTTCAACAATTTCATGTTCAACTTAAATTATAATACATATCAATGCGTAAATCATGTGGTTAATATGATTCTGTACAGATTTTCAGAACGGTCTTGTTGGTTCACAAATTCACAAATTGGCCCTTGGCCTGGTGGGTTCACATATCCACAAATTAGCCTTTAGCTTTATAGATTCATAACTTCACAACTTGGCCCTTGGCCTTTTGGATTCATAGTTTCACACGTTGCCCCTCGGCCTCATGGATTCATAAGTTCACAAGTTGGCCCTCGGCCTCATAAGTTCATAAGTTCACAAGTTCACAAGGGTATGGACTCAAGAGGTGGCTCGTACGGATTCTAGAGGTAACTGCATTAGTTCCGTACAGCACTTTGTTCCATACCAGAAATCATCATAACAGATTAACTTCAGAATCATACAGAAAATATATACATTCTTCCCATTATTCACATGAATTAACATAGATAATATAAGTTTAACAGAACGTTACTGATAATTGTTAGCAAAAGGTAAACACATTTCACAGATTTAACATTTCCAGAGATACGTAGATACGATAGTTCCA